GGCATAATTATATTGGACTAATCCTATTTTCATCAATAATTCGTTAATTATATGAATAGAAAAAATTATATTATCACTTTTACATTAAAATGTATATTTTACCTTATTAATCTTTGTATTTTCACATCATTTGCATTAGTTTCAATCTTTTTAGGGTTGGTTTGGAAAGTGGGTTGACTTTTTGACTTTTTTAGCTATTTTAGCCTGGGCTAAAAAGCTTGGTTTGGAAACGACTTTTTGACTTTTTGATTTTTTTGACTTTTTTTGTAAGAAAAGAATGTAATGATTATGGATTGGATGCGATATTTTGTTTGTTGTGGCTAAAATAGCCTATTTTGTCTTTTGTAGTTAAAATAGCCAAAAAAAACCCATAAAATCCCTTCCCAAGCGGTGCCTAGTCTTATTAGAAGGAAGGTCGGTATAGTTATATCAAAACTATAAAATATATATATATTTTTTCTATAAATCTTAAAGAGAAGTCAATATAATTTATGTGTGTATATTGCGATGGGCAATTTTTGGGCTTTACCCATTTTTATCTATTGATCTATTTTAAAAAAAAAAAAAATCCGAGCAAGGTTTACTCAGCAGATGGTCAAGAGTGGGCCAATCTCAGCTGACTAGCAAAGCTTCACACCGAAAGGGATTTCTTCTAGTGTGACATCTACTGAAAGGTCCCATTCTTCAGCAATTCAATTTCTCACGTTACTTACTAATAATAATAATAATAATAGCATTAATTAAAAGAGAGAGGGAGAGGCTTTTTTTTTTTTTTTTTAAACAAAAAATTCCAACTGGACCACCCTATGCAGTATATGTATAAAACTTTATGAATAAACTCTAAATATACATAATCACTCGCAAATCATATGCCTAAGTTAATTCGGAGTATATTAATGAAAGTCAAGCATAAGACCACCTTCAATAATATTATATAAATAGAAAATTAGTACTGAATAATGTGATAAGTTTTGATTTTATCATTTTAAAGTAAAAAATGCATCAAGATGACTTATATTTTCAATAATGCTACTGAATTCTGTATGTAAATTTTGTAAGCATAACGTCATTTTCCTTTTGTACACATTAAAAAGAGTGTTTTTTTGTTTTTTGGAACACTTAAAAAAGAGATTTTGACACAAAGAAGATGGAGGTATATGACTAGGTTTTGGGCCCCAAAATTGTTCCCTCTTCTATTGATTTGTCCCTCTTTCAGAAGCTATTTTATGTTTCACCCTCATCAGTATGTCTACCATCCCCCACCACTTTCCATCACAAGCAAGCAGGCTTTTCAAATGAAAAACCCTTTTCTTTTTCTTTTTTTTCTTCTCTCTATTTTGATTCCTCCTTTAACTTTGGCATAAGTTTTCCTTCTCATCCAAGGTTTCTTTCTACCTTTTATAATTTGTTGTTGTTTACTCATAAGACCTTATAGAGTAGAACCCATGTGAATGAAATCAAAGCATATGCACAAAAAAAGAAACCCCAGCATGAACTATAATGCACTTCTTTCATCCAAAAGAGGTAAAAGTGTGTAAAATACCTTCAAAGTCCTCAAGTTTGGCTCATCCAAAAATAAGGGTGTGTTTGGTACCGACACAATTCAAATTTGTTTAGCAAACTACTTTTGAGAAAATTATCTGAAAACACCTTATTTTATAGAAACACTAATAAATCGAGAATTGAAAACAATACCAAACAAAAGTAGGCTGAAAACGTAGTAGCGAGCTACCAATCAAAAGAAAACGACCTTGAGTGAGGCCGGGACATATTATTATATCTTAACCTACATTTTTAGTAATGAAACCACCACATTAATAAGTTATTTGAGTAAAAGAAACTGCTGTCCTTGCAAACAGCTATTACAAACAATTTTTTTTATCCATATATTAGAGAGAGAAGCTACTGTATTTAAAAGAAAAGAAAGCTGAGTGAAGACAAAAAAAAAATAAATTCATTGCACAATATTATTTAAACATTAAAAAAAAGCATGATTTGCTCTCAATTTACTCTATTCTAATGTGATACTAATTTGTGTAGTTAGGTTCAATACAATACTAGTTCTCTTTAGCTTTAAGTCAAAGACATCAAAGTTTAAAAGTTTTCATAGAATGATTAATGTCACCAATTTTCATCTTCAGTCTAATTCAAACCACTTGTAATAAAGCCTAGAACTCATTTAACAAACACCCATGAACCGAGTTTTTGAATCCAACATGCCACCACTAAACTATGTCACAGCAAGAGATACAAACTACTTTATTTTGGAATAATCATGTCTTAATGATGCATTCTCATGGTCATGGTTTTTGAAAAAACTCCTTTAGTCAAACTCAGTGTCTCGTGTTTATTTTTTTCCTTTCCTTTTTTTCAAAAGTAGAAACAAGCTCATGCACTTTGATTGAAGTTAAAGAAATTGTTTTAGACTTTCAAAGTAGTAGTACAACGCATTTATATTATGTAAAAAGAGACTGAACTTGAACACTTATCCCAAGATTTTCCAATATTCTGCTCCTTATCATTTCTTAAGAAAATTAAAGCCAAGTATTCCTTTCAATTGGATCATAAGCAATCAAATAAAACATTTCCAGGATGTAATTAGCTATATCTTATTATTGTGAAACCAGTGTAACTGTAGTTTTTTGGACTTTTGATCAACCTGTGTAAACAAACACTTGTGCGTATACATGCATTAATTGGTGTGCATGTAAAAGTATAAAAACAATAATAACATTACATAATCATAAATGAAGCAATGACGTCAAATAAGCCTATCTTTTTGCTTCCAATATAATTTCAAGGATAAATTACGCTCACCTCCCTAAAGTTTCTAACAAATATAAGGACTTCTCATGTGATTTGAATAATTATATTAACTTCCCTTATTTTAACTGTCATTGTCAAGATTCTCCCCTTTCGTCAGATTGTAACAAACGATGTTACTTGCATATATTAAATGACCTTATTACCCTTGCATATATTCTGTCATGAACCTCTTCTCCGTTTACGTCATACATAATTAAATTATGAATTATTTTTTAAGATTTATTATCCTTATTACCCTTGCTTTTGTGGATTTATTTTTTAAAAATATTAAAAAATATTTAAGAAAATTTTATTTTTTTATTTTAAATATATAATTTTTATTTAAAATATTTTATTTTATTTTGTAAATATTTAAATTTTTTTAATTTTAATATTTTAAACTCAAAACACATTTCCACACTCATATCATAACCAAACACACGTTTCTAACTAACCCAAGGCTTTTCCACATCTAATCTTTTTGTATATACATTTGTCTTTTATATGTGGTTGATTATCATTAGTAGCTACCTCTGTCATACCGTAATGAGCCGTTCAATTCTAAACTTACATGTTAAGCTTGGCAAGTGCAAAAGTAGGTTTTAGTTTTTCAAAATTTATCAAAATATTGCTTATTGACAATAAAATGGGCAAGGAAAATCCAAAGAAAGTCCAGAGAAATTTGGAAAGAATTTCTTACAAATTTCTCTGGAGAACTCTCCAGAGAAATTTGGGAAGAATTTCTCTGGAAAGTTCAGAGAATTTCTTTGGATTGAAATTTCTTTGGATCAATGTGTGAGGGACCTTAAACATTATGAAAATATTAGATGTCCTTTATACTATGAAATCGTAATACCAAGGACCTTAAAAAACATGATTTTAAAAATAATTTAAAAAATAAAAAATAAAAAAAATATTTTAAATTTTTTTTCTTTTAAAATAGAGTTTTGAAAAGAATTTGGTTTTGAGTTTTGAGTTTTGAATTAAGTTTTGAATTGTGTGTTTGGTTACGAGTTTTGAAAGCAATTTTTGAATTGAGTTTTGAGTAGTTTTAAGTTGTGTATTTGGTTATAAGTTTTGAAGAGATTTTAAATTTTTTTAATTAGAATTGTGATTCCGAAAGAGAACCAAATGTATTTCTTTGTTATTGTTTGGCTAATTAATTGCTTATGCTTCTAGTGTTCACCTTACTGTAAACTGAAATTTTAATTGGAGTAATACTATAAAATAAATAAATAAAAATAAATTTTAAGATAAATTACACTAACTGCTTCTAAGACTTAGGGGGAAAAAATAAAAATTTTATAAATTTGACATAATTACATAAATCTCCTGTTATTAGGGGGGGGGGAAATTATAAATTTTATAAATTTGGCATAATTACATAAATCTCCTATTTAGTAAGATTAAATTGATAAAAAGTAATGCTTATAGTGTGTAAACACTAAAATAAATGACAACATATTTTTTTCTCTATATATGACTAACGAATTACAGGAGAAAAAAAATTAAGTGTTATCTGAATTAAAATATTATGGCAATATAATGTAATTGTACCAAGTTTGTGAAGCTTATTGTATTCTGCAAATCTCAAGAGTAGTTAGTATAATTTACCCTACAATTTATAAAATTTTCTCATTTACTAATGTTACAATTATTATATCATTCTAAAATTTTATTATTGTATAGCACAAGTAAGAAAAAATGTGTAATATTTACCCTCAGAAACCTTGGGGGAGGTTTGTGTAATTTACCCTAAAAAATATGTTAATAATTGTCCAACAACCTTGAGGGCATTATTGGTATTTTTAGATTTATTGGTAATGACATCAAGCAGGTTTCGCTATCACAAGTAACGGAGGTTCAAATATGGAGGAATCTTGACAATGTCAGTTAAAATAGGAAAGGTTTATGTAATTATTCAACCTATAGGAAAGGTCCCCGTAATTCACCCTAATTTCAATAACTGACCGAAAAGTAAGATGCACAAAAGGAATGGATCATGTGACTGGCCAAGAAGCTCTCTATATATTTTGAAACAAAGTCTACATTTAGTCCCCAAAAAAAACAGCATCAAGCAACCCTTGCAAAGTGCTTGATGACAGCAGAGGGACGATTGGTCATGAAAAAACAGAACAAAGGAAAAGTCCTTTAAACATGGGGTGGCCCGTAGTTTCCTTGGAGAACACAAGAAATAAATATCTCTTTAACATGTTACTTTAATCAACTATTGAGTTAATTTTCAGCATAAACTGACCAAAGCTGAATTATTTTTTGCATTGTTATATTAACTTCTATATACAGATGTAAAGCTAAGCAACCCAAGAATGAAGTGAATTTCCAATGTCAGTACCTTTTGGAATGTGCCATGGGCTTGGAGCCCAATATGTGAACACAAAGCCCTTTCAGAACTCTTAACACAAAGGAGCTGCAATCCATTTTGGGCCATCTCCATGAAATCCACCAAGAGGGTGCCTTCATCCAACTCTGCAAAACACAAGTGAATAAGATTTTCCCTGAATTGTCCAACTATGTTATTAGAATGACCTTTCCCTTTATTAAGTATATACATCATACCCTGAAAAAAAATAAAAAATAAAAAAAAAAATGAGAGAGGGTAGAAGAAGAAGAAGGAAAGTCCATGCATCATGCACTTGCTACTAACTGAGAAAAGTGTCATTTAGCATGAAATATATCAATTCTGAATAGTATTATGTGAAGTGGAACCGTGGAACCCCCATAACACCAATGCATGAATTAATTTTTAAGAAAAGCCTAAACCAAAAAACTTCATCCATACTAGTCCACTTTTTAACTAATACCTTTGTCAGTCTATTAAATTGCAGAACAACAATTCTGATATGTTTTAATCAATACCACCATAGTTTACTCCAAAATGCATGCACTTCTAATATGCTAATCAAGCGATGTTTAAATTTGTGTCCATAGCTTCTACATGTTGTTATTGCTGAATACCAAAAGGTTCATTAGTTTAAGAACTCGTACTTTGTAACAGTCATCTTGATTCATGGAGATTTACAGACTTTGGCATCTACACCCTTTGCAGTCATATAACTGCAAAGCCAATCATAACCACATGAGGCTAATTTCTTGTTCCTATCTTTAAGTTAGCTCTTGAATGCCTTATTGACAGAAATCTACCATGCCAATTAACATAACATAATTACACAAAACCAAAAACGAGTAATTTGGACTTCATGAATTGATTGGCCAACCTCCGAAGCAGTAATCCAAGAGGAATTATGCAAAATTGCACATTCAAAATTATGCCACCGCCATGAAATGTTTAGCATTTCCTTTCAACCACCAGATGCCTTCCTTCATGATCTACTTCATTGCCAAAAAACCATTTCACTAGTACCCAATTCAAAATTATAAAGCAAGAATCCACCGGAAAGAGTTCAAAGCTTTGGCATCCATAACTGTCTTATAAACCAACACGACGAAGAGAATATCTATGACACTCTGTGATTTGTAACAGCTCCCCAATCTCCATTCACTTAAATACTAACACACTCAGCCATATTGTAAGATAACAACTCAAGGGTTGGATAAATGTGATCTAATTCCGGATGAGTTTCATCTCTTGTAGTAAAAATATGGTTCCTCCCCTTTACTTCAACCCAGCTACAGCCCAACTCTTTTCTTGCCTCTCTTTCCTTCATTTGTCTCCTCATCTCCATTACCTCCTTCCATTTGCCAGCTGATGCAAGGATTTCAATAACCATTAACGATGCACTTGAATTATAAGGTTCGCGTTCCAAAATCTTTTCAGCGACATGAATTCCCAGTCCCAAGTTGCCCCAAATCCTACATCCATTCAGTAATGTCCTCCAAAAAACAGGTGTGGGCTCAAAGGGCATTCGTATGACAATGTCATGTGCTTCTCTAAGCAGCCCCGCACGAGAAAATAGGTCAACCATGCTGGCATAGTGCTCAGGTCCTGGCGAAATGTTATAATCCATTTCCATACTTTGAAAATACTGCTTCCCTTCTTCTATGAAACCACAATGCGTGCAACCATGTAAAACTCCCAAGAAACTGATACTATCTGGTAAAAACCGTGCTTTTTGCATTTGATGGAAAAACATAATCGCCTCAATACCAAATCCGTGTTGCCCATAACCCATAATCATAGAATTCCAAGTAACACTGTCACGCCAGGGCAACCCCATGTAAACACGGCTAGCATTGTCGAAACTACCTGATTTTATGAACATAGAAATGGATGAATTTCCTATATGAATATTTCTTGCAAAACCTCTTTTAAGGACTTGAGAATAGACCTGTTCGCTCACCGAAAGCATTGCCAGATCAGCAGAAGCAGCCAAAGCACTAGTAAATGAATGTGAAGTTGGTTGGACTCCTGCCAACAACATTTCTTTAAACACATCCAAGCTTTTGGTAGCCAACCCATTTTGCTGTAAACCCGATATAATGGTAGACCATGAAATCGAATTCGGCTCAGGGATTTCCTTAAACAAGCGCCACGCATCTTCTATCTGTGAATCTTGACAAAGTGCGGTAACTATAGCAGTCCAACTGACGACGTTTTTACATGGCATCACTATAAAGAGTTTCAGTGCAATGTGTGTCTTTCTTTCTTTGGTGTAACCCATGATCATTGAAGTCCAAGTGAAAGGACTCTTCTCAGGCATTTCATCAAACAGTTCCCTTGCATCCCCAATCCTATTGTTTTCAAAGTAACCTTTGATCATAACATTCCAAGAAACAGAGTCTCTATGACCCATTTGATCAAACACTTTTCTTGCATGATCTACTTCTCCTTTTAGTGAGTAATCTGATATTGTTTTTGTCAGTGTCACCACATCTTCATTTTTTGCACAGTTTTTACTGCATGCATTTCTGGTGCAGAAGAGTTTGGTGGTGGTGTAAACAGATTTGATTACTCTTTTGCCATTGTTTAATGAATCAATCATAATTAGGGTTATGAGAAGATCATTATGGAATGAATCAATCATATAGCAAATTGTATTTGGATCTTTGAAACACGAATCAACGAACCAAGGCTACACATCGCGTAATTTTTTGAGAAATTAGAGAGGGGATTGGTTTGTGGAGGTGGGCATTCATTGGGCCAGGCCGATCCCGACTGGGGCCAAACTATAAAATATGGAAGAAAAAAAACGTGAATAAGTTTTATATACAAAATTCAAAATCTATCTCGTCCTAAAATAAAACGCTTGCACTAATTAATTTTATATATTTTTAATTATTATCAAAAAAATCTTATTTTTAAAAAAAAATTAAAGATGTTGTTACATCCTATTAACGTCGGACTTCTACAAATTCACCGGAATGTTCAACATCGCCGGAAAATTGCCGGAATATCACCAGAAATTCGCGAGAGTATCGCCAGAATGTTATGAACATTACCAGAAGTTGTCAGAATGTCTAGAATATTCGCTAGACGTCGAGAATATCGTTAGAAACTCATCGGAATGTCTAGAATATTGTCAGGAAAAAAAAAAAAAAACTATGAAATTAAAGTGAAAAAATATAGCAAAATTTACTAACTATTAATAAATTGAAAGAAGAAGAAAAAAACCTAAGAACAACAAACAACAACAATGTAAAAATATATATGTTATTTTTAATTTTTTGTAGTATTTAAGCAAATAATCTCTAATATTGATCAAACTAAAAAACAAGTTTTGAAACTATAAAATGTTACAGTTTCAAAATATAATTCTATTAAGTATTTATCCTTATTAATCAAACTGAAAAACATGTTATGAAACTAAAAAAATTTACAATTTTAAAAAAAGTTATGAAAATTCAAAATTTTATGGTTCTAAAAAATGATTCATTTAAGTACAAAAAAAAAAAAAAATTGAAATTGTAAAATTTTACAGTTTTCACCGCTGGTAATTAAAATTCGAAAACAATTTGTTCAAAACTTAAAAATTTTTCCATTATAATAGGAAAATTAAAGTGGGTAGTACATAAAAAATATTAAAACTGAGAGATCGAAAGAAAGAGACAGATATAAATAGATGCTTGTATCCCGACAACTATTTTTTTGTTTAGATCTAGTTAAATCTAACGTAAATCTACTTAGATCTAATGTAGATTTGAGTAAATTTATATCAGATTTGAGTAGATCTACTTATTTCTTCGCCGTCAGTGAGCACGAAATAAGGAATTGGTGCTCGGTGGTTGCCTGTGAACTCCGATCAACGGTGGTTGCCGATTGTCAATGACTATACATTAGAAAGAGAAAAAAAACAACCAATCCTTAGACTTCAATATATCATACTTAATATAAATATTAAAAAAAAAAATGATTCTAACTACAAAAACATTCCAAAAAAATCACAAGCATTCTTAATTTTTTGCTAATAAGATAGAGCAAAGATCTTCTAGAGTGATTTTTCCCTAAAGTTTCCTAGAGTGCTACGTTGTGTGGTTGAGATTTACTGGCAAGTCACATCAGAAAAATTGATGTGACTTGCCAGTAAATCTCAACCACACAATGTAGCACTTTAGGAAACTTTAGAAAAATTTCACTCTAGAGGATCCTTGCTCATAGGATTTTTGGATCTATCTAAAAAGTTTTAAAATTAAATAAAATACACACTTTTCAAAAAAGACTTGTAAGTAATTTGCCAAAGAAAAAAATTATTCCCAAGTCCAATTTGATTGATTTGGTCTTTTATTTTATTTTTTAATATATTCACTTACAAACAAAATTAAATATTGTCTTATCAATTACAAGATTTCATTAAATATTCTTTCATAAAAATAAAAAAAAATAAAAAAAAAGTTACAAAAAAAAAAATGAAAAAAAAAAATTGAATGAAAAGGAAGTGTCGATGCCAAGCACAAATATCTCACAAAGAGTTATGTGACCCCATCTCTTGGGGTTGTGCAAAATATTACTCAATTTTCACCAATCTTCTTGTTAATTGTAAATTGACTTGATTCACAATTTGAAATTTATAATCTGATTTCAAAATCACTTTATCTCACCAATAGTTAATACACATTTTTTTTTTAATCTCAATGATCAAAATAAAATTAAGTGTGAAAGAGATCTAAAATGTAGAATTTGTTACAAATTAATTTTATATATATAATATTAATGTTATATATTATATAAACATTTAATAATTGTTTAAGGCTAGTTTTCAATCATCTAATAAGTTGAAATCATTCAAATTGTGATTTGATTACAGACAACAAATTTGTCAATTTATCTTCACAATTTAATTATAATTTTATCTTTAAACCACACCACACACCCCGAACATTCTCACGACACATCTATATATTGTTCTTATTTTGGTTTGATTGAAGTCCATTTCTTATTTTCTTACAAGCTTGTATATGCCAAAGTCGTAGTGCTACATTTTACAATTTTCTTTGATAAAAATACTTTTTTATAAACTTTTACCAGTAAGAATTTATTCACTCACTCTATAATAATAAATTTTTATCAATAAAAGTTTTTTAAAAAAGTGTTTTTTGGGAGAAATTTGTGGTGGTAGGTCATTTTCCATATTATTAAAATGACAAAATTAATTTTAAAGAATAGAAAATTTGATTTTTAAATAAATGCAATTAATCAATCTCAATATCTAAGTATATACACATTTGTAATCTCCCCTCTCTGAGAAAAAAAAATTAAATGAAAAAATAAAATAAAATATACATTCTTTTTTTGGGGTACAACGGAATTAAAACAACAAAGGAGAAACTACGTCCTCATCCTACCCAAGCCTATCATATCAGTAATAAGCAACTCTCTTAACTCAGCTAGTGGATCATTCATCACCAGTATTTCTTCAGGTTGATTGGCTCTCATTTTTGCCAAAAAATCAGCACACAAATTGCCTTCTTTCCATACATGTTGCACAAAGCAATCACACCCTTTGAGAAGAATCTGGGCATCCCCCACCAGGTTCTTGAAAGGGCATTTGTCCCCTGGTTTTTCTTGTAGCAATTGCACTACCTGTTCGGCATCGGTCTCAATCATGACTTGGTTCATTCCTTTTTGTAGTATGATAGTCAACCCTTTGTATACAGCCCACAATTCAGCTTCTAAACTGGTTCCACTGTGCAATTTTCCATAGTAGCCACACACCCAAGTTCCTCTTTCATCTCTGATTAGGCCCCCAAATCCTCCATTGCCACCAACTCTTTTGCTGCCATCCGTATTTAATTTTAGTCTACCTGCAGATGGAAGACACCAATTAATAACTCTGAATGCAGGTCTGGTCTTGGATATAGAATGAAAGAATGCTTGGTTAATCTCTCTTGAGTAATCCAAAATAAATTTAAAACTCTCTTGACTTGGAGTAGATTTTTGTTCAAAAACCATTAAATTCCTATTCTCCCAAATTTTCCACAAGGAAATAGTAAAAACAGATTGCCAAGAGATGGTATCGTTAAAAAGTTTTTTTGTTTTTAGCATTACTCTTGAGCCAATCCAACCAAGGCATCTTCATCATATCCCAGTACCAATTTTGATTACAAATAACTAGCCACACTTCCTTTGCTTTGAAACAGTCCCTAAAGAGGTGTGACATATCCTCTACCCCACAACAATTAGGGCATTTCGGATCATCAGTCAAACCCCTTTTTAATCTCATTTGATTTGTAAGCAGTTTCCCATGGAACACAGTCCAAAGGAAGCCTTTGAGTTTTTGGGGTATTCGCATCCTCCATAACCAATTCCAATCCTCCTCATTCTCAGTCTCACCAAGGATGAGGTTATACACAGATGAAACATTGAAAGAACCAGTAGGTGATCCCTTCCAGAGGGGACTATCCATCTCCAAAGTACCAGGAGGAGGATTATTCAAGATCAAAGATGCCATATTAGGAGTACACAATCTGTGAACTTTGATCTCATTCCAACTGCTATCAGAATTAAACAGCTCACTCACATTATTATCAACATTACAATTATTGTGTAAGTTTTGGTTAGTATTGGATTCAAGGTTCATAAAAGCCTTGTCTCCACGCCACCAATCCTTCCACACATTCACATTGTTTCCATTGCCAACAGTCCATTTCACACCCTTTCTGAGGATGTAGCAAGTTTTCATAATACCTCTCCATAAATGAGAGGCTTTTTTGTTGTTATGCCAATCATACAGAGAGGTGCCTCTCAAGTATTTGGTTTTGAGCAACTCACACCACATTTCACCTTTGTTACTAAGCAGGTTCCACTCTAGTTTAGTTAGCAAAGCCAAATTTTGATCCCTGGCCTTTTTTATTCCCAGGCCACCATGACTTTTCATTCTACACACATCATCCCAATTAACAAGATGGATTCTTTTTCTTTCCAAGGTGTCACCCCATAAGAAGTTCTTGTTCAGTCTGCCAATGTCATTGCTTACTCTTTTAGGAATAAGCATAGTTTGCATGGTGTAGGAGGGTATGGCAGAGCTTACTGACTTAATGAGAGTAGCTCTACCAGACATAGATAAGAGGTTAGACTTCTATCATGCCAATCTTCTCTGCATTTTCTCCATGATGTCATGAAAATGTCTTCTATTAATTCTGCCATGAATGAGTGGGACACCCAGGTATTTTCCTAACTCAGAGGTTAGGGAGATACCACATTTGGTGCTCAGCTCTTTAGCCCTCCTTCTGTCAACATTAGAGGAAACAAACATCTTGGATTTATGGGGATTAACCTTTAATCCAGAGATATCGCAAAATTCTTCCATAACAGTCATAATTGTGTTACAAGTTTCCATGGTAGCTTGGCCAAACAACATGAGATCGTCCGCAAAGAACAAGTGAGTGAGGGTAGGACCACCTCTAGTAACTTTTATCCCCTTCCAACTCTTGTTCTCAGCCTTGAAGCTTATCATGCTTGATAGTCTCTCCATGCATAAGACAAAGAGGTAAGGGGATAAAGGGTCACCTTGTCTCAAACCCCTATGGGGTTGAAATTCCTCAAGATGTTCCCCATTCCAAATAATAGCAATCCTCACAGCAGTAACACAACCCATAACAATATCAATGAAGTTTTTATCAAAATTGAACTCATTAAGGGTTTGTTTTAAGAAATCCCAAGAAATGTTGTCATAAGCTTTTTCCAAATCAACTTTTAAAATCATGCCCCCTTGTT